CTGGAGGGCAGAGGCACAATCTCAGCTCACTGCAACCTCCGTCTCCTGGGTTCAAGCGATTCTCCTGCCTCAGACTCCTGAATAGTGGGATTACAGACACGCACCACCACTGTCCGGCCAATTTTTGTATTTTTAGTAGAGATGGGGTTTCACCGTGTTGGCCAGGCTGGTCTTGAACTCCTGAACTCAGAAGATCCGTCCGCTTCGGCCTCCCAAAGTGTTGGGATTACAGGCATGAGCCACCAAGCCCAGCCCAGAATCAGGTACTCTTGCCTCCCTTATACACGGGAGGAAATCATGGCACAGAGGGGAAATGTAGTGTGGGCAATGCGCACTTCCTGGGGGCTGGAGGTTCCTCTCTGAGGCTCCCCCTCGCATCGTGTCCGCAGATCCAGGGGCACAGGGCTCTCCCCATCCTCCCCCGACCCTGCCTCAGTGCTCAGCTGGGAACTACCCTGGGGTTAGGAACCGAGAGGAGTAGCAGGCTTCTCCCACTAGGTGGCAGCAGCGTCCGCGCCTGAGTCCCCGCTCCCACCCTAGGGAAGGCGCTGCCGGGCGGACTCCCGGGCCTCCTCCCGCATCTTCCACAGGTTGCATCTGAGGCTGCAGGAAAACGGATGGCTGGGAATGGCCGTCGGGGGTTGGTCAGAGGAAGTCTCTAGGCCCTTTCCGAGGCACATCTCTTGGCCATTCACGCATCCTTCGCAGACTCCGCTCCCTGCACCTCCGTTTCCTCTTCTGTGACCGGCGGCTCCCCTGTGGCCACCCCATCTCCCGTCTCTGCCACCTCCCAACAGCCATTTCCACTCCTGCGGTCCCATATCAGCTAAGGAGAGCTCCCTTCTGATTGGCAGGTGGGCCTGTCTGTCACGGGCATGTTCCATCCCACCCAAGCCCAAGGACACTCCAGGGTCTCCTTAGTTTCACGACGAAGATGCGTGCTCAGCGGACTCTGCAGACTCAGTGTCGCGACTTCGCCCAAAGCCAGGCGTGTATCTGTGCGCGTGTGAGGTGCTCTGCAGCAACTCTATGCAGAGAGCAGGAGGGCTAGGACTCGGGGTACTTGCCATGAACCGCTTCGAGTTCCTAAACAAGTAAAAAGCCCAGAGAGACAAAAAAAAAAAAAGGGGGCGGCGGGGCAGGGGTGGGGAAGGAGGGAAACCAATATCTATGGGACTGGCTCACGTGGGCTGCTTCCCCTGTGCTGCGCTGATGGCTTCCTTTTTTTTTTTTTTTTGAGACAAGATATTGCTCTGTCTGTCACCCAGGCTGGAGTGCAGCCTCGACCTCCTGGGCTCAAGCGATCCTCTCACCTCAGCCTCCCAAGTAGCTGGCACGACGGGCGTGCACCACCTCCTGCTTATTTTTTTGTTTTGTTTTGTTTTTTTGAGATGGAGTTTCGCTCTGTCGGCCATCCTGGAGTGCAGTGGCGCAATCTTGGCTCACTGCAACTTCCGCCTTCTTAGTTCAAGCGATTCTCCTGCCTCAGTCTCCCGAGTAGCTGGGATTAAAAGCACGTGCCACCATACCTGGCTAATTTTTGTAGTTTTTTTAGTAGAGACGGGGTTTCATCATGTTGGCCAGTCTGGTCTCAAACTCCTGACCTCAAGTGATCTGCCCTCCGTGGTCTCCTAGAGTGCTGGGATTACAGGCATGAGCGACTGTGCCCAGCCTACTTATTTTTTTCTTTGTAGAGACGGGGTCTTGCTATGTTGCCCAGGCTGGTCTCAAACTTCTGGGCATAAGTGATCCTCCCACTCTGGCCTCCCAAAATGCTGGGATGACAGTTGTGAGCCGCCACGCAGGTCACTTATAAGAAAGAGGAAGGGATTTATCCAAAGCCACAGGGCATGTGAGAGGCAGCAGAAGGGACTCAGTAATGTGGTTTTTGGGTCAGGCGCGGTGCTCACGCCTATGATCCCAGCACTTTGGGAGGCCGAGATGGGTGGATCACTTGAGGCCAGGAGTTCGAGACCAGCCTGCCCAACATGATGAAATCCCGACTCTACTAACAATCCAAAAAAAGGCTGGGCATGGTGGCTCACACCTATAATCCCAGCACTTTGGGAGGCCAAGGCGGGTGGATCACCTGAGGTCAGGAGTTCAAGACCAGAGTGACCAATATGGTGAAACCCCATCTCTACTAAAAATACAAAAATTAGCCAGGCATGGTAGCATGCGCCTGTAGTCCCAGTTACGTGGGAGGCTGAGACAGGAGAACTGCTTGAACCCGAGAGAGAGGTTGCAGTGAGCCTAAATTGCACCACTGCACTCCAGCCTGGGTGATAGAGTGAAACTTCGTCTCAAAAAAAAAAAAAAAAAAAAATTAGCCAGGCGTGGTGATGCGCGCCTATAGTCCCAGCTAATCAGGAATCTGAGGCAGGAGAATCACTTGAGCCCAGTAGGTGGAAGTTGCAGTGAGCCGAGATCATGCCACTGCACTCCAGCCTGGGTGACACTCGAGACTCTATCTCAATAAATAAATAAATAAATAAATAAATAACCTGGTTCCTGATGCTGGGCCAGGGCTTGTGCCCCAGGCCCACACGCAACTGCTCCTTGAGGTTAGCTGGGAGAAGGGACACAGAGCCTATGGCCTTTGGGGTTGACTTTTTTTTTGTTTTCTTAAATGCTTCAAAAACATACAGCTACTATCTCTACCAGAAAAGGCCGTTTCAACCCAAACAATGCATTATCCATTCATCCATTTATCCATCCATGACATAAATGTGCTGAGCTCCTGCTATGCACTGGCCAGACTCCATTTATGGCTCAGAAATCACCAGGGTATGGTCCTTGCCCTCAGGAGTGACAAGGGAGAGAACTCATAGATGCGCATCATTCTAGAGTAGACGGGCAACTCTGGGTCATCTACACCTGCTGTCTCCACTCCCTCACCTTTAGTGGACTCTTCGATCTCTTATTTTTTTGAGATGGAGTCTCATTCAGTCACCCAGGCTGGAGTGCAGTGGCGTGATCTCGGCTCACCGCAACCTCTGTCTCCCGGTTCAAATGATTCTCCCACTTTGGCTTCCTGAGTAGCTGGGATTATAGGTACCCACCACCACGCCCAGCTAATTTTTGTATTTTTGGTAGAGACGGGGTTTTGCCACGTTGGCCAAGCTGGTTTCAAACTCCTGACCTCAGGTGATCTGCCTGCCTCTGCCTCCCAAAGTGCTGGGATTACAGGCATGAGCCACTGCGCCCGGCCAATTCTTCGA